TTTTAAGCAAGCAATTTACAACTGCAATTTGCAGTTTGAAACTTTTAGCACTTTCAGACTGAATTTTGTATTCTCCCTTCACTAGAGCAATTTTATATGGTTCATATTTAACAGCTAGTTTGAACTTCAAATTACTGGCCCGATTCTCAAAAGTCAGGTTAGGCAGAAGCTATGTATCTTCTTTCATTCGCTCTGGAGATCCTTAGATTCCGAGTCCTGTAATCAGATGTGTATGGGAACAGAGTTAACAGGAATGCGGGAAGGAAGGGAGAAGAGAGACTTAAATTCTAATATGAGATGAACCAAAGTCACTAGTGCAAAGTCCAGAAGTCTTGCAGACTAGGCACTGAGGGACCACATCCCATTCACTACCAAAGAAAAATAAAGGTGGGATGACAACAGGCATTGTCCAGATTCATTTGCCCTTCCCTCTTTTCTTAAAGAGAACACAATTGTATTGGGGGGGGGGAGGGGAGTATACAAATCCCACACTGGAGAGAGGGGTTACAGAACAGCACTGGGCTCAGGCAACCCTGCCTAGAGATACCTGCAAAGCCTGCACAAGCTGGCGGCAGGGCTTGAAAAGGGTGAGCAGAGCAGTCCATAGGCTGGCAGTGGAAGGGAGCAAATGGCTGCTCTGAGGGGGAAAGTACTGCCCGGGAGCTCATTGCCTGGGACCTGACAACACAAACAATGCAAACCCCCAAGGAGAAGCAGGGGACAGTGTTTGAGCCAAAATTTATTGGAGTGGTTTGGGGGAGCAGTGCCTTATTTCTAAGGCACTGGGTATAGCTGCCCACCATTGGGTCCTGGACTGGAACCTGGTAGAGCAGATGGGCCTGGTTTCCCTTCTCCACTCTGAGGACAATACAACCACAAGAACCCCCTCCTCTGCTTATTTTCACCAGGCAGGGGGTTAGGATGCAGGAGGGGGTGAGGGCTCCAGCTGGGGGTGTGGGCTCTGGTGTGGGGCTGGGGATGAGGGATTTGGAGTGCAGGAGGATGCTCTGGGCTGGGACCAAGGGGTTCGGGATCAGGGCTGGGCAAGGGGTTTGGGGTGACAGGGGCGCAGGCTTCAGGCAGCGCTTACCTGAAGCAGCGGCATGTCTCCCTCTGGCTCCTATGTGGAGGTGCAGACAGGCAGCTCTGCATGCTGCCCCATCTGCAGCTGCCACCCCCGCAGCTCCCATTGGCTGTGGCTCCTGAACAATGGGAGCTACAGCGCGGCGCCTGCAGACAGAAGTGCACAGACCTTATTCCCTGGCTAATGAAGCCATTCACAGGCTACTTGGATAGAAAGTACTGTTTCACTATCGCCTCACCAGTGGCAAAATGACACTGGAGTGTGCATTTTGACCCTTTCAAAGAGAGGTGGTGCTGTCTTGTGGCTAAATTACAGGCTGCAGAATGGTACCTAGGATTACAGCTTCATCTTGTATCCTACACAGTATTTGTGAGTCTTAATGCATGGGAGGCTAAGGTGCAGAGAATTGCTAAGCAATATGAGAAGCCAACAAGACATCTACTACCAGGACAATCATAGAATATCAGTGTTGGAAGGGACCTCAGGAGATCATCTAGTCCAACCTCCAGCTCGAAGCTGGACCAATCCCTAAATGGCCCCCTCAAGGATTGAACTCACAACCCTGGTTTAGCAGGCAAATGCTCAAACCACTGAGCTATCCCTTCCCCCTTTCAGGGATTCAGTTTGCTCTTTTTTGTGTTAGCTACACATTAGCTACATGTTTTCAGGTATACCAAGTTTGGGGAGGGATGTAAGGCCTGAAGCTTGCTTCTGCAGTAAAAGCAGCAGCCAGATTGAGAGACAGCAGCCATGAGCTAAATTGCAGAGTTATAGCCTCACATTCCATCTATTGCACCAAAACAATATCAGGCTGTTAACAAGGTACTCCTGCCCTAATAGTACCCACTACCCACCATCACCAAATAAAGAAAAGGAGTACTTGTGGCACCTTAGAGACTAACCAATTTATTTGAGCATGAGCTTTCGTGAGCTACAGCTCACTTCATCAGATGAAGTGAGCTGTAGCTCACGAAAGCTCATGCTCAAATAAATTGGTTAGTCTCTAAGGTGCCACAAGTACTCCTTTTCTTTTTGCGAATACAGACTAACACGGCTGTTCCTCTGAAACCTGTCAAATAAAGAAACAGATCTTAACATGTCTAAAGAAAACTTTGTTTGATAGCATTCTGTCTGGCAGGAAACCACTTCTGACAGTTGTGATTGTGAAATGTAAACTTCTATTTTGTCTTTATGGTCCCTGTCTTGATGGTAGATAAACTTCTCTTGTTTATCTATACAGTCTCTGATTCTTTAATTGTTTCCATCTGTTGCATAACTAATTTAGTAAGATTTAAATCCACTTATGTGGTGGGGTATGATTGGTGACAAATACTTTCTAGTACTTTAGTCTTAAACGATCTAAGATATAGCTAAGTAGGATCCAAATTTTAACTATATAAACTAGGGTCCAAAAGGATGTTCTTTGGAACCTAACTCCAGGACACAGCCCAAGATAAGAGCTGCTAGACCTCAACACTCTGCCACCGTACTGTGCAGAAGCTGGAGCCCCAGATGCTCTAATCTGGACTGGCCATCAAGAAAAGTTTCACTCCCTTATTGGGAGTGGTGAGCATTGTATGCTTAGCATTTGTATTCTGTTTTGGTAACTCTTAATAGAGGTTAAGTATATTACTGTGTAAGGCTCTGTCACAGGTAAAAGGACCCGCATACCCACAAAAGATTATGCCCTGACAACTAGGAATTGAGAAAGGGTGGAGATACCTAAATTAACCGGGTTACCCCTTGAGCCCCTGGAGGGCAAAGGTGGGGTACCCTAGAGCAGTGGCTCTCAATCTTTCCAACTACTGTACCCCTTGTCTTGTGTACCCCCCAGTTTCACCCCATTTAAACTACTTGCTTACAAAATCAGACATAAAAATGCAAGTGTCACAGCACACTATTACTGAAAATTGCTTATTCTCATTTTTACCATATAATTTAAAACAAATATTGAATATAAATATTCTACTTCAGTCTTTGTATGTATATAGAGCAGTATGAAATTTTAGTTTGCACTGACTTCACTAGTGCTTTTTTATGTAGCCTAGTCTAAAACTAGACATATCTAGATATACCCCCTGGAAGACCCTTTTTGTACCCTCAGGGGTACATGTACCCCTGGTTGAGAACCACTGCCCTAGAGTGCATGGATAACAGGGAAGGATGTGATTTCTGAGCATTGAAGTGATACTATGGGTGGTAGAAGTGGCATGTTGTAGTATTTATTTTGTTATACATAAATATGTAGCTGTCAGTAAATTGACTGGACCCATTATACTTATGAGAGCCTTGGTAGAACATGCTATAATGCAAACATTAGCCATAGGCTCTGTCAGTGGAAAAATTGAAAATCTATAGACTTCAGTTAACACCTAGAAATGTTATCAATCCTGTTTCCAGATAGACCAAAGAACATACTATAAAGCATTCTAAATAAGCATCTAGAAAGCTTCCCTCTGAACTAGTGGAGCTAGGTCTCCTTGTACTTTTTGAGCAGGCATGTGGGAAATACTAAACATAAAGTAACTCTAGCTCCCAACGGAGCGAATCATGATATAATTTGCAGCATCAGCGACAAGGTGGATTAGTCAGTAGATATCAAATATAGATAGATCAGTCGCTACAAACTGAACTCCCACTGGGTAAAGCTGAGCTCATAAGTTTTCCTTCAGTTAATTAGGATATAGGGTTTGTTTTTGTTTGGGGAAGATGATGGGGATGAGAGGATTTGATTGTGTTGAGCCCTGTAAACATTGAACTATTGGTTAAAGAAAGGGTATATCATGTTCAATTAGTCCAATAAAAAGTATCCAATAAACCAATGTGGTTTGTGTAAACCTGCTTGTATCACAGTCGAAAAGCTTTCTTTAAGAAACCATGGGAATAGGAAACCTCATGTAAAAACAGCATGCAATTGGTATTCTCACCTGCCACAAACCTATACGGGAGGGAGATATCCTGTACACCAGGGAGAAGGGAAATACTGTACCTCTGAGGAATCATCAGTGAACACCAGTCTTGGTTTGATTGGACCAGTCACTGAAAACCACCTCCAAAGTGGCAACCACATGATTGGACTCTAAGGGATATTGTCACTAAGCTTGGTCTGAGCAGGTACTTACACAGGACCAGACAGGGCCCTAGGCACACCATGACAAAGAGTCCAAGGGTTCTGTCCCTGAGGCCCTGCCTCTAGGTCACAGCTCTACCTGACAGGGAGTGGGCCACATGGGAAGCAAAGAGATGCGTGGGGCTGTGCAGTGAATAGGAAAGGTAAGGGAAACCTTAAGGTGACTAGACAGGAAATGTGAAAAATTGGGACAGGGGCTGGGCGGTAATAGGTGCCTATATAAGAGACAGCCCCAAATATCAGGACTGTCCCTATAAAAACCAAGTCACCTGGTCACCCTAGATCCCCACAACAGAGAGAGCCTGACAGCAGTGCATTTGAGGCAGGAGTGCACGTTTCCAGGGCCAGTTTGGTCTTCCCAAGGAGGGACTAGAGGTGGGGGAGGTCCAGATTGGGACAGTGTGCCCTGGCATATCCTCTGCCTCAGCAGCAGCTGGGCAATTAAACCACGACTAGCAAGGGCAGCTCCTGAGGGCCAGTGAGGAATTTCATATTTCACACCTGGGATGTGCATGTGGGTCTTTGCCTACAGCTTCCCTCCCCCCATAGACTACACCCCGCCTCTCCACCCTACTCTCTGCTAGCAGATGCCCCTCATAGCCCGCACCGCCCTCCTACCGACGCCCCGCCCCCGCGGTGTCCCGGCCCCGCCTCCTCGCCTAATTCCCCACGCGCCCCAAGCCGCATCTTCGCGCACTTGACAGTTGGCTCTCTTAAGAGCACGCGCCCCTTTAAAGCATCTGCCGCCCTGGGCCCCGCCCCCTCCTGCTTTTTGATTGGCTGGCGGAGCCGGTGCTCTGCGGTCCTGGCAGCTGCGACTCAAAGGCGCCGCGGTTGCTCCGGCTGCCGAGGGCGGGGGACCCCGGCTCCCTCCCTGCCTGTGCCGGCCGGATGCGCAGCAGCACCTGCCGCTCAGACAGCGGCACCAGGAGGGGGAGACACGGGGGCCTCGTCCTCCCCTGGGGTGGCGGCGGTGGCAGCCCGGAGAGCAGGAGGCCGGGAACAAAGGCTCCGCGCCAGCCCCTGTGGCTCCACCTGCCGCCCGCGGCGATGGCTTCCCTCAGCCTGGGGGGGCTGAACGTCTCGGCCCGTAGGAAGAGCGTCCAGTCCCGCAACGCGGCGGTGGAGAGGAGGAACCTGATCACCGTCTGCAGGTGACTCCCCAGCCCCGCGGCTCCTCCCCGCTCCGCCTCTGTCTCGTGCCCGCCCTCTGGGGAGGCGAGTTCCCCTCCTTCGCTGCCCCCAGCGCCGGGCTGTGCCCGCCTCCGTCGGCGCGGCTGAAATCGCTTTCCACCCCCGCGCCCCGCCTTGGGCAGGTGAATCCCCTGCTCCGCCCTCTGGATCCCAGCCCCTGGGCGCGCAGCTGGCTGGTCCCCATCGCCCTGGGCAGCGTGTCCGCCGGGCTGAGAGGGGGACTCTGCGCGTGGCCTGACCCATGGTGGCCCCTGGCAGCACGGCAGGCTGTGCGCCCGCCCTCGGTACGGGGAGGGGGTTGCCTGGCTTTGGGGCTGCAGTAGGATTAAAAACGAAGGATGGGAGTCTCCCTCCTGACTCAGCGCCTTTAAAAAATGGCTGTTTAGCAGCCTCCCAAGGACCCGGCCTAAACTGCTTGCTGGCTTTCTTCTTCTTGGCTTTGACAAGGCGGTGTGTGTATTTACCTGACTATAAAGTTAACGCTATTTAAACAAAATATTGGGACTAGTTCAGACTGGTAGCTTGAGACAAGAGGTTTGTTTTTTGGCAAAATGTACTTGTTAGAGATTTTGCTGTACAATGTGAATATTTGTCAGTTCTATGTATGTTCACAACAGTTGAAGCAAGAGCCAAGATGGTTTCTAAACTTTTAAGGATGTTTAATTCAAGTCTTGTCTTCATTTAGGCTTTCCTCATATGGTATCTTGTATGTTGTGACAGTTTTCAGAGTAGCAGCCGTGTTAGTCTGTATCCACAAAAAGAAAAGGAGTACTTGTGGCACCTTAGAGACTAACAAATTTATTAGAGCATAAGCTTTCATGAACTACAGCTCACTTCATCAGATGCATTCAGTGGAAAATATGGTGGGGAGATTTTATATACACAGAGAACATGAAACAATGGGTGTTATCATACAGACTGTAACAAGGGTGACAGGAAAGGTGAACTATTACCAGCAGGAGAGCAGGGAAGAGCCTTTTGTAGTGATAATCAAGGTGGGCCATTTCCAGCACTTTACAAGAACAGTAGGAGAGGAAATAAACAAGGAGAAATAGTTTTACTTTGTGTAATGACACATCCACTCCCAGTCTTTATTCATGCCTAACTTAATTGTATCCAGTTTGCAAATTAATTCCAATTCAGCAGTCTCTCGTTGGAGTCTGTTTTTGAAGTTTTTTTGTTGAAGAATTGCCACTTTTAGGTCTGTAATCGAGTGACCAGAGAGACTGAAGTGTTCTCTGACTGGTTTTTGAATGTTACAATTCTTTATGTCTGATTTGTGTCCATTTATTCTTTTACGTAGAGACTGTCCAGTTTGGCCAGTGTACATGGCAGAGGGGCATTTACAGACCTAAATTCTTCAATTAGGTCTGTAAATGCCCCTCTGCCATGTACACTGGCCAAACTGGACAGTCTCTACGTAAAAGAATAAATGGACACAAATCAGACATAAAGAATTGTAACATTCAAAAACCAGTCAGAGAACACTTCAGTCTCTCTGGTCACTCGATTACAGACCTAAAAGTGGCAATTCTTCAACAAAAAAACTTCAAAAACAGACTCCAACGAGAGACTGCTGAATTGGAATTAATTTGCAAACTGGATACAATTAAGTTAGGCATGAATAAAGACTGGGAGTGGATGTGTCATTACACAAAGTAAAACTATTTCTCCTTGTTTATTTCCTCTCCTACTGTTCTTGTAAAGTGCTGGAAATGGCCCACCTTGATTATCACTACAAAAGGCTCTTCCCTGCTCTCCCCCCTGGTAATAGCTCACCTTTCCTGTCACCCTTGTTACAGTCTGTATGATAACACCCATTGTTTCATGTTCTCTGTGTATATAAAATCTCCCCACTATACTTTCCACTGTATGCATCCGATGAAGTGAGCTGTAGCTCATGGAAGTTTATGCTCAGATAAATTTGTTAGTCTCTAAGTTGCCACAAGTACTCCTTTTCTTTATATGTTGTGAGATACAGTTGAATTTCTCCATGCAAAATAATACTTTTAACTAACGGTTCTAATTTTTATACCCACTACATCTATAAAACTTAAAGTGAAGGTTGAAGCTCTCTTATTCACCATGTTGTACATGTAGTACAAATATAAAGTTACCTCCTTTTTAAAGATAATTGCAATAGATGATTACAGGAATGGGTGCATTAAAGACAGTGTTTGAGTCTGGATTTAAGTTTAATGCCAACATCTACCATTAAAGTATGCATTTTTAATATTTTTAAACTCTTCGGTGGAAGCATAGACTTGACATGATTTTGTATGACTCAAAAATACATATTTATTTCACGCACTTCAACAGCTCTTCTGGTGCTGTCATAGTCTTGTAAATGTGTAGCTTATTTTTTCCACACGTGAATTATTACCTATTAAATCATAGGAAACCTTGAGTAAAAGTACAAAAATACTTTTGAATGTGAATTCCTAGCCTAATTCCAATATAATGTAGAGCCAACAAATAGATTCATTTGAATATTGACTAAAATGCCCTGTAATGACTTTTAATTAATTGAAAATAAGTATATTTAAAAATACTGAACAGATATTTAACTGTAATATCTTTATAATATACAAATATTTTTCTCTATCTATATTATAACTTTTACAAATTGAAGCTTTCACACCGGGATTGACAAGTGACACCTACTAGATAACATGGTATGAGGCTTGTATCCTTACTAGTGTGGTCCAGTGGTAACTTCCTTAGGAAAAGCTAATTTGTTTCTTGGTGCCTTCCCCTTCCTATCAGGGTATAGTCCTTAGATCCTGCTTGTGGAATTCCTTCTTTCATACTGGCTGTAGCTTAGTAGATGGGTTATAGACTTGAACCAACCCACATCATCCTAGCTACTGAAAGGGAAGAGGAACTGTTCTATCCCTCAGATCCCAGCATCCAGGCTTCAGGGAGGGCTCCACTACTGTACTCCTCCAGTAGCCTGTCTTTTTTGTGCTTCCCTCTAGTGCTGCTTGGAAAAGCTAGATGCAATAACTGAATAAAGTGGGTAAGAAACTAGTCAGTTTTGTGGTTGCCCATCGGGTCTCAAATGGTAGAAATGAAATTCTCCCATCTTGTCAATTCCACTTGGCTGTTGGGTGCTGACATTGCTTGCCTGCTCATAAACTTAGGATTGAAGTTCACTGGTTACTATTGGAACCATAAATGCTAGAAAAACTTTTTAAAAAAAAAATCAAAGCTTGCATTCTGTGGTATGTGATGGCTTAGACCTCATCTCTCCTATTATGATGGAAAATATCCTACTCTCCACTGGAGAATGGTTTTCTTTAGCTCTGATATTTAATGTATCTGTGAGACAGTCAAAAGTGACCCTAATTTTGAGAAAAATCTTAGAAAACTGAGGCAATATAAATTGTCAGCAACAGCAGCATATGTCAATGCGTGATTCCTACCTTCCTATAGACACTCTCTAAAATAGCAAAATGTTTACAGCTAGAATAACATTCTGCTGTCTTTCTCACCAAGCCTAAAAATTAACATTTTCCACAAGCTTTAAATCTTGGGGGAGAGGAGTGTGTGTTCACTTTTAAAGCTGGTATATGGTCTTGATTGTTTCTATCCTTTTTGAGCTTTTTAAAAGAAAAAGGCAAGGAGTAGTTTTATGGAAATAATCAAAACCCATCTGCAATTATTAAGCCTTTCTGATATTCTAGAGTATTCTTTAGTAGGCGTACACTAAAAACTACAAAGCAGCAAATCAGGCAGCTGATTGTAATATGTTTAGGACCATCAGAAATACTGTTGGTATAAATGGTGCCATTAATGTACCTTGAGATGATTGAATCAAATGTGGAAAGTACCCCTTTTTTTACTACTGCAGCTCAGAAACTGCAAGGAAGAAATTCTTCTGCATTGTCATCTGCAGCCTTCTCTTATGATTACCAGAGAAGAGTTCTTCAAATTATCATTCTGCAAAATCTTTAGTATTTCTTCAGTAGCTTTTTTTAAAGTGTCATCTGCATTATTTGGATTTTTACTTGCCCCTTTTACTGCCAATTTTTTTATGCTTGTTCTTCATTAACTAAATGACACAGAATATAGAGGGATTATGTGGTCATTTAGAGACTTTTAAAATCTGATTTTAATATTGTAGATATTTATGACACCTGCAGGCTCACAGTCAGATAAGACAGTACTGTCATATTATTTTCATATAAGAAAATAACTGTTGACCCTCACATTTTTGTGTAGGCCCATGAAAACAATTCCTTCCCCAAACAGGCTGACTCCTCTGTACCATGATCACAATAGGGTGCATAGGGTCCATCTGAGAATTTTCAGATGGAGGAGTCTTTAGGTTTCTCCAGCCTCCTGCTGTAAAAGTTAGCCCCGCTACTTGTAGTGGCATATGTGTATAGTTCTGAACATTTAAAGTTTTCCAAGGGACAGTTTATTTCAGATACATTGAAAAGATTGGTGGGGAGACAACTTAAATATTAAAAACCATCATAATGTTAAGTGTGTTTAAAATTTGGAGATCTGTTAATCGCCTCAATGCTTTGCTGGTAATATTGTCTCTGTGTGTGTTGAGATTTCACAGCCTTGACTCTCAGCTGGAAGCATTAAGTTCTTTGACAAAAATTATCAACTTTCCCTTATAAGGTAGAGATTGTCTTCTGTTTTTTATCTTCCATTTATAGATTTGAGATAAGAACACAAGTGATATTCAGAGGTGAAGAGTCTTACAGGATTATACTGGGGTCTCTCTCCCTATCCCGGACACATTACTCAAACTCTCTGGAGGGGGCCTTCAAAAATTAGGCTCCTGTTTGCTTGCTTAGATTATTCTAAAGCAGTGGTTCCCAAACTTGTTCCGCTGCTTGTGCAGGGAAAGCCCCTGGCGGGCCGGGCCGGTTTCTTTACCTGCCGCGTCCGCAGGTTCGGCCGATTGCGGCTGCCAGTGGCTGCGGTTTGCTGCTCCAGGCCC